CTAGGTGATCATGTGTAACTGGAATAATTGGTGTTGAGAATTACACCAGCTGCAGCAGAGCTAATGTGGCATGTTGGAGGGTTTTTGGAGGAAGGGAGGTGGATGACAGAAGGTCCTTAGCAACAAGGAATGACCAGAACCAACTAAGTCTGAGAATTTATTAACAAAAACAGCCCAACTTTACACTCAAAACACCCCATAATCAAACCTGAAGTGTCACTTTGATTCTTTCATGTTTGAGGAATCCTTTAATCTCCATGGCAACCATTTAGCTGTCAAAATGCCTGGGTGTACCTCGCCCCACCTACAGGGCGCAGCTCCTCCTCAGATTCCCAGTTTCTGCCTCACAGAGCAGCACTCCGCCTGAAACTCCTCCACTCAGCTCCTTCAGACTAGCCAGCAGCAATTAGCTGAAGTTGCTGTAAAACTGATTCTGTGGAGGTTCTGAACATCATGGTCAGATATAAGATGAATGTCTTCTGTGCCGAAGGGGTCGGAGGTTAAAAAAGAAACCTACAAACCTTCTATTCTCAAACCAAAAGCCTGTTATTCACACAAATCCTGATCAGTGAAACTGTATCAACAAAAATCTGAAAAACTCAAGGAATCAGAGAACATTCCAGGGTTTCCTGTGTGAGACAGAGAATGAGGAATTAAAGACCGTTAGCAGCTTTTATCACGGCTCCCTGCTAGGAACATCCGGATTCCTCCGTTTTAGCAGACGGTGTGGTGCAGAAAATCAGAAAACCAAGTTGAAACAGAAGAGACCAGCGACTGCAGCAGGAGATCACAACTCTGAGGTTTGTCTTTTGTTTGTTACAGAGAGAACGATGGTTTTGGAGGCAGGAGTAAAACTGTTCAGACGACTTGCTGTAGCACACCTGCAGGCGTTTGACACACTGAACATTAAACCGTTTCTTTGCCTAAACGCAGCAGCCCACCCACCATCGTTAATAATGACTTTGTCCATCTGCTGAAATCCAAAGGATATCTTTGTTGTTTAGCCGCCTGTGAGGAGTTAATCCTAATCTCAACAATTAGTGATTTATCACAGCCGCACAGTTTAGATGTTTGGTGTTAATGTTTGTGTTCCAGTGAACTCTGGACGTTCTCTGTGTCTGAAGGTCCAAGAAAACAGAAATTTGGCTAAAAGAATAAGTTGACGTCATTCTGTTCTTACAGATAATTTTCACACATTTTATGTGCTGAACTTTTCTGTTGTGTGGTTTTCAACGATTATATCCAGATTTTGCGGTAGGATGGACATGCAGGTCAACATTAATATAAAACATTTCAGTAAAAAATCAGTTCAAATGATTTACATCATGAAAACATCACCACAGTCACCAACTGAGGAACCAGTAACAACCAGGTGGGTGTTCAGTTCAGGTTTAAAGGAACTCAGTGTTCCGACTGTTTTTCAGTTTTCTGGAAGTTTGTTCCAGATCTGTGCTACATAGAAGCTGAATGCAGCTTCTCCATGTCTGGTTCTGGTTCTGACTGAAACCAAGAAGAATGTCAGCCAAGAACCGAAATTCTTCCTCTGAGAGTAAAGACTTTAATGAGGAGTTGAAACTGAAATAAATAGTGAAATTATTTAAACTGAAATAGTTTAAATAATTTAATTAAAACAGTTCTTCAGATTCATCTTAAGGAATAAAAGTATTTTATTTTGGAACCTCAGTGACTCTTTTCCCTTTGAATCTCTGAAGGCTGAACTCTATTAAACAATCCCAGCTGCTCACAGACTGTTGTTGTTGTTGCTGCTGAATCATTCTGGGCGTTTACTGCTTTGCTTTTCAAGCAGAAGAACAAAAATATTTTATAAAGGCGAAGGAGTTAAAACTCTGCTGTGGGAATAAAACTCCAGACTGAGTTTAAATCAAACTTTAACCTGAGAGAAAGTCTCAGTTTAAAGTTTCTGCATCGAGTTTATTAGTAAAAGTTTCAGACTGAAGCTTTTGGAGAAACTTCTACTGAGTCTGTTTTTCTGTCACCAGTGACTTTCAGCTTCCAGACTTCCCAATTTTTGTGTTGCTTTCGTCAACAATGAGCAAAAAATATCAAGAAGAGGTAAGTTTTACAGCTGGATCAGTTCAAACACTGGTTTTTACTGGTTCTTATGGTTTTTACTGGTTTCAGATTTGTTTTTCCTCTCTGAAAGTTTGCTGATCCGTTTCTGTCCGCCATGTTTTTCTGAATGATTAACATTACACTGTGGAGAAAATAAACCCATTTTAAAGGCTTGGTTTACACATCAGAAGGAACTAAGAATGTAATTGATAATCAATCAATAATGCTGGTTGAAATTTAAAGGCACATAATGGAAACCGACTGCATTGTTGGTTTTCACTTTATAACAGAACAAAAAGCTCAGGTAGAAACTGTTTCCTGATCAACAGTTAAAGTTTTATTTAAATGACCAACTGAAGCAGCAGCATCAGCCCTAATTTAAACTACAGAGCATAAATATGCAAAGTGTGCAAATAGATCTGTTAGTATGACAGGAATAATCATCAGATGGGATCAATGTTATGCTGATGATTCTCTGCTGTCCTTAAATCCTGGTGAATTCAGTCGGTTCCGTCGTAGAAATATCTCATCCAGATGCTGAAAATCTGATTCACCCTTCAGTTCAGTTTCCTGAGGCTTTGTCTGAAACTTTCCAAAGGAAAACTTTCTGGAAAATTTGATACAGTTGACCGTCTAGCCGGGGTCATCTGAGCTGTTCCTGTAGTCATGATGCTACAAACTCACCACTTTTCCACTTTCTTCTCCTACTACTCTCCAGTTTACATTATTTGTTATTTAAACTGTTCTCTTTTGCTTTTTCTCTCTCTCTAGAAGTGTTGTGGACATTTTCTTTAGCAAAGAGTGAGGAAAAACAGTTTCAAAAACCAGAGAATCAGACAAAGAATATATTCCTAAACAGTATTTATTGTAAGGTTTTATAATGTTCAAAGTCTCTGCTCGCTGACCAGTCAGGAGGAAGAGGAACAGCATTCAGTTTTATGGGGAGGGTTTCATTCCATTCACATAGTTTAACAATCTAGTCACTAAACCTAGTAGACGTCTCATATTACCTCTGGCCTCTGATCGTTCTGGTGTTTGTGTTCAGGTGACCAAACTTGAAAAACAATTGGGGGAAAAACTGAGCTCGATCCTGGAGGAACTAACAGATTATCAGTACAAGCGGATGCTGACGTATCTAAACAAAATCCCCGAGCAGGAGAAGCGCAAAAGACCCAGAGGTGAAATGGCTCAAATCATCATCCAGCACTACGGGCTGGAGAAGTCCATCGAAGAAATCAACGAGAATGTGCTTCATATCTGCAAGGGGGATCGTAAGATCCAGGACCTGCTGCAGCCCATGCTGAGGAAACTAGAAGTTGTGAAGACTCTGAAGAAAGAGAAAACGGTGAGTTCAGAAACGGTTCATTCAGAAAAACGAGATTTTACCTGACTGAATAAAAATCAGAGCAGTATAAATACCTGCTATAAGTTAGCATAGAAGCAGATAATGATGGCGGATAAACCCGCTGTGGGCCCGGTTCTCCTCGTTTCCCTCATCAGAGAGCAGGATGGAGAAGGACAACGTTCAGAAACAGATTTTCACACTTCCTGGTTCCTGCACACATGTCACAGAGCTAACCAATCAACAGTGATGCTGAGTGAACTTATCATAGTTACAACTCCTGCTTTCAAAATCTAAACCTGAACTCAGTAAATAAGTAAACATAAATGATGGGAATAAACATTTGCAATCAACTGGCTGCATTACTGACTTTCAACCTAAAAAGTTCAACAGATATCTAACTATTGACCCATTTGATCAGTGAAACAGTTCTTTGTTCTTTAACATCTCACAACACATGAATGAAACAAGAATGAAAAAACCTTCTTTCAATATTTCAGAGCAGAGATCTGGTGGAGCTGCAGGTGGAGAAACCGTGCAGAGTCCTGGCAGACCTTCGAAGCGGAAGAGGCAGCCGAGCCCCCAGCCTGAGGTAACTAACTTCACACGGCTCCAGTTCTCCGTGTTACAGTGACGTGACCTTGATGATCAGTCACAGCTTGATAACGGCGCCTCCTGCTGTTCTTTACCCCATGGAGACATAGTCAGAACCGCGTTGCTCATGCAGTGACTGGGTTAATGGTGTTCTGGTGGTCTGGGTTGACCAGCGCCAGCTCCACATGATGGAGACCAAAGGAGGTCCACTTCTACGTCTTATTGTGACTCTGTGTCTGTCTGAGAACATCCTGTTTGACGCTTCACCATGAGCCTCAAACAGACGTTTTAGACGGAAAATAGGATTTTGTCTGAAAGTGTTTCAGATATCGTTATTTCACGATAAATATTTCGTTCATGCATTCTGGTTTGTTTAGGCCGCCGGGTCTCAGACACTCAAGAAGAAGAAATCTGATTAAAAGCCAACAGAACCTCTGCAGGTACCAGAGGGTTCTGCTGCAGGGATCAGACTCCATCTGTAAACGACCTCTGACCTCACATGGTTGTTTCTTCGTTCCTTTAAAGATGGTGATTTCCACGTCAACGTCTCACAAGATGGTTTCATCATGTTTGACTTTTTACTCATCTGTCTGTAAAATTCTGACCCTGAATGATAAAAACTCCACAGTAAAATCAAACTTGTCTCAGATGTTTGAAAAATGTTTTAAAGACGTTTTTAAAATCATCGCAGCTGCAGAAAAATGTTAAATATTTCATGTGATTTTGTCCATTTAGATGATTCTGGATTCTAGTTCAATAAAATTATTGACATTACAATTCATATCAAATATCCACACATGTGTTTCCGTTTGGAGTTTATTTTATTCACTAACATTATTTTTTATTAAAAATTTACAACCAAATGTTTGAGTTGATTCTTTAAAGGAAATAAACTCATTGGACATTTTATTTATTTCTACTTCAACTTTATTAAAAATATGATCAACGAAGCAGCAGAAAACACACACACTGACACACACAGACACACAACAGCAGAGTCCATCCGTGTAACCATGGCAACCACAGACAGGGTCGTTAAATGGCAACAAACTTTCAATAAAGAAGCTCGGTTCTTTGACAGAGTTCTGGTGTTTCCTGGTCGGTTCTGACAGCGGCGTATCGGATCAGAACCATGAGGGGAAACTTTAGAGCTTCAACAGGAAAACCTAAAAAAATAGAACCTCTGAGTTTAAAGAGCCTCTGATCGGGTCAGGCGACGCCGTTTCATAATTGATCCATTTCATTCACACATCCGGATCCAACAGAACCAATAATCCATTCAGGGTTTTTAAACCTGACTTTAAATTCCTGCTGGTTCTGATCCATTTGGGTCTCTCCTGATGTGTCAATGTTCTGATTTTATTTTGAAATCCTGTAGGAAGAAACTTCCTGTGAGAGAAGAAAATCTAATCAACTCGTCTCCAGGTTTTTCTGTCCAGTTTTGAGTTGTCTGAACTTCCCAATGAGCCGGTTTCATCCCAGCCTGACGATCAGAACCGGAGTTCTGATGAGGGTCCAACCTGGGACTTGGAGCGTTTCCTGTCCGGGTCACTGGCTGACGACGAGCTGCCGCAGGTAGGACTGGGTCAGGCCGCGCAGCTCCTCCAGAGCGTAATCCTCCGGCATGGGCAGTCGGCTGATGTGCGGCGCCAACTGGGCCAGTGGGATGCTGAGCGGGTCTGCGGCGCCGTCGCCCTGCTGCAGACTCAGGACGGCCCGCAGGATGTTCGCCACGCGCTTCGCCATCTCTGCAGAGGGGGAAGGGCGGAGCTTAGATCAGAGGGAATGACCCTGAAACTTCAGAGCAGCGTGAGCTGTGATTGGCCGGCTCCCGGCCTTCACCTGATTGGGCGAGGTGGTCCCTGGCGGTCCGGCAGGGCAGCAGCTCAATGCGGCCGCAGAGCGACGTCACGTCAGAGTAGAGCCGCTCCAGCTGGTAGCCGGCGCCGGAGCTGTCCATCTGGGACAGCAGAACCACGTTAGACACAAACAATCCTCAACGGTTACCCCGACAACGCCGATACAGGTTATTATAGTTTAGCAGAATTACCAAAAAACAGCAACCGAGCTCAAACGATTATTGAAATGTCAACTAATTTAGTAACGGACTGACGGTTAACTGGACAAACTGACTAAAGCCACACAGAGCAGCCAGGAAGCAGAAACTGAACAAACCATTTTGAATTAAGCATTAAAAATTATATTTAGTAATTCAGTCATCGATCGATCGATCGATGACTGAATGAGTCGTTAGCAGCAGCTGTTATCACCGCTCAGAGTTCAACATCCTGGATGTTTTCAGTATTTCTTCATCTTACATCATTTCTGCTGTTTGCAGTTTTAGTTTGTCTTTAAATGAACTTTATAAAGTTCACAAACTGATCCACTTCACTGCCACATCAGAGTGAAGTCGTTTCTGTTAACAGTACCAGGCCAGAACCGAACCGACCTGCTGGATGTCCTGCAGGGACTTGATGACCCGGATGTAGTCCAGGTAGACTCTGCCGGCCGTGTCCCAGTCCTGGATGCTGGCGCTGTGTTCTGGTACCGCCAGGCCCTCTAGGAACTCCAGCAGGTAGTCGTGGTTGTCGTTGACGATGCAGTCTGTGGGAGAAACGGGTTGAGTCACGTGACGTGGCGTGAGCTGGACTGGTCCAGCATGCGGAGCATACCTGAGGCCAGGTGTTGGATCAGCAGCCGGTGGCACTGGTTCCAGTGTCCGGCCCGGTACAAGTGCAGGGCCTGGCGGTGGCGGTCCCCGTCCCGCTGGGCCCGGACCGCCTTGGCCTCGTGGATCCAGCTCTCCGGAACCAGGAGCCTGTCAGTCAGGAAGCGCTCCCTGCGGGCCGACTCCTCCGTCTCCAGCAGGGGGCAGTGCAGCGCCAGCAGCTCCCTGACGGCCCGCTCCCGCTGCCTGCAGAGAAGAAGAAACTTGATTCATACAGCAGCCACAGGAAACTCGTAATGCATTAGACATGCTGCAGCTTATTGTTCACATCTGGAGACTGAAGAGGACGGAGCCCTGTGGAACTCCGCAGGAGATTTTATTCAACTTAGATTTATCGTCCCTTTTCGACATTAAAGGTTTCAGCTGAGCATTATGGCAGAAATACCAGCCCAGTTCTGTGATTGGGATGGTAAGAGCGGGTCCAGACCCAGTTCTTGTTCTGACCTGTGGTCGGGGAGGTGCAGCAGGATGAACACGGCCAGGTGCCAGAGGCCAGCGCTCTCCAGCTGGGCAGCGTAGGCGGCGTGGACAAGGCCCTGCCGCGGTGCGGCCAGGTGGGTGTAGCGCAGGGCCTGCAGCACGCCCCACAAGTGCCAGCTGAGCCGGTAGTCCAGGCGCCGCCAGGTGACGGTGAGCGGGTCGAGCAGCGGCTGCAAGCCGTACAGTCTGCAGGAGGAAACGGGTCAACAGAACCGGATTGTTACAGGAACAGTACTATGGGGTTTCCAGGAAATTTATTTCCTTACTGAAGTCCCTGAAATTGGGCCACTGTTTCTTTAAGAAACTCCTGCTCCCACTGAAGCGACGCCTCCAGGAAGTTATCCTCTATTAACCCTTTAACATTTTTACCAGCGTTGCTCAGAGCAGAAGCTCCTATAATGAGCACAGCAGATGTTTGCTAATGGCTGCTGGCTAGTCTGAAGGAGCTGAGTGGGGGAGGAGCTTTGCATTTGAGGGCGGGGCTAAGTCCACCTGGGCATTTTGGACAGCTGAATGGTTGATTAAAGGATTTCTCAAACATGATACCGGCCCTTTAACAGGAACTGCAGGTCAAACCGATCAGGTGATCTGAGGAACACAGATCAGGTTTTAAATAATCGACTTTAAACCGTTTAAATGGAAAAGGTACAACCTGATTCAGGTGGTTCTACTGACTCAGGGGTGTCAAACTCCAGTCCTCAACCGCTGTCCTGCAGTTTTTAGATGTGCCACAGGTACAAAACACTGGAATGAAATGGCTTAATTGCCACCTTGTGTAGATAAGTTCTCCAGAGCCTTGCTGATAACCTAATTATTTTATTCAGGTGTGGTGCAGCGGGGACACATCTAAAAGTTGCAGGGCTGTGGCCCTCCAGGACTGGAGTTTGACAACTGTGTGCTAACTGGTTCAGTGCAGTGAGTCAGAACTGGTTCTGGTGCCTCAGGTTTACCTGTCGCTGTAGAGCTTCAGCAGGTGGAAGCAGAGGTCGAGCAGCGGCCGCTCAGGCTCCTCCTTCTCCTCCTCCTCCTCTAGGGGTGGTGACCCCTCCAGGTACGGCGGCAGCGGCATGCAGGCATACCTGCCAGCCTCTGTGGAGCCCTGCAGGGGGCAACAGAACCATCAGAGCAGTTCTGACCCGGCAGAGAGGCGGGTCTGGCCGGGACTCACCTGGAAAGCGTCTTCGTAGGCGGCCAGGGCGTCGGCCACGGAGGCGGTGGGTGGCAGCAGGTACCACAGGTGGACGGCCAGGCAGCGCTTCCAGTCTAGCTCTGAGCAGACGTTCACTGCCAACCCGGACGACTGCCACACCTGCAGAGATGGAACCGTTCAGAATCGGAACCGGGCAGCAGGTAGGACGGCTCCGGGCCAACAAAACCCACCGGCTTCCCGGCCAGCAGGGCGAAGATCCGCAGCCGCTCCTCGCTCAGGTGGAGGTCAGTCTGCGTCCGGCTCCAGTCGGCCAGCTGCAAGTCCAACAGCTGACGGCAGACCCTTGATCCAGAGGCCTGCGACAGCAGCAGGGCCAGGCGGTGGTCACCTAAACGCACACATCGCCATGGTTACACGTTTATATCTCCAGTTTAAATTCACTATCAGGTTCTGCCGGTCTCCATCAGAACCCGAGGTTCTGTCTGCTCCACTAACCTTCCCTCTGGGCAAGTTGACACGCCTCGCTGACGCGGCGGCCC